CCAGTTCATCCCAGTCCCTCCCAGTCCCTCCCAGTCCCCCTCCCAGCCCCTCCCAGTCCCCCCCAGTCCATCCCAGTCCCTCCCAGTTTGTCCCAGTTACCGTGCCGCTGGCACTGGAGCTGCCCGGGGCTCAGCAGGGCCAGGGGGGTGCCCTGGTGGGGGAGGGGCCCCCGGCAGCGCCCCCCGGCCTCGGCGGGGGAGGGGCGGGTGGGCAGCCAGCGCAGGAGCCAGCGCAGGTGACAATCGCAGCGGAACGGGTTCCCGCGCAGGTCCCTGCAGCGGTGACACCGGGGGGGTGACAAAACGGTGACAAAATGGTGAGAAATGGTGAAAAACTGACAAAACGGTGACAAACAGTGACAAACGGTGACAAACGGTGACAAAACAGTGACTAATGGTGACAAAACAGTGACAAACGGTGACAATCGCAGCGGAACGGGTTCCCGCGCAGGTCCCTGCGGCGGTGACACCAGGGGGGTGACAAAACGGTGACAAACGGTGAGAAAACGGTGAGAAATGGTGACAAAACAGTGACAAAACAACAAAAAATGGCACCAAAATGGTGACAAATGGTGACAAATGGTGACAAATGGTGAGAAACGATGACAAAACAACAAAAAACAGTGACAAAATGGCACCAAAACAGCAAAAAAATGGCACCAAACGGTGACAAACGGTGACAATCGCAGCGGAACGGGTTCCCACGCAGGTCCTTGCGGCGGTGACACCAGGGAGTTGACAAACAGTGAGAAATGGTGACAAATCAGCAAAAAATGGCACCAACTGGTGACAAACAGTGACAAACGGTGAGAAAACAGTGAGAAACGGCAACAAAACGGTGACAGTGACAAACGGTGACAAACAGTGAGAAACGGTGATAAACAGTGAGAAATGGTGACAAAACGGTGACAAAATGGTGAGAAATGAGTGACAAACGGTGACAAAATGGTGAGAAATGAGTGACAAACGGTGACAAAATGGTGAGAAATGAGTGACAAACGGTGACAAAATGGTGAGAAATGAGTGACAAACGGTGACAAAATGGTGAGAAATGAGTGACAAACGGTGACAAAATGGTGAGAAATGAGTGACAAACGGTGACAAAATGGTGAGAAATGAGTGACAAACGGTGACAAAATGGTGAGAAATGAGTGACAAACGGTGACAAAATGGTGAGAAATGAGTGACAAACGGTGACAAAATGGTGAGAAATGAGTGACAAACGGTGACAAAATGGTGAGAAATGAGTGACAAACGGTGACAAAATGGTGAGAAATGAGTGACAAACGGTGACAAAATGGTGAGAAATGAGTGACAAACGGTGACAAAATGGTGAGAAATGAGTGACAAACGGTGACAAAATGGTGAGAAATGAGTGACAAACGGTGACAAAATGGTGAGAAATGAGTGACAAACGGTGACAAAATGGTGAGAAATGAGTGACAAACGGTGACAAAATGGTGAGAAATGAGTGACAAACGGTGACAAAATGGTGAGAAATGAGTGACAAACGGTGACAAAATGGTGAGAAATGAGTGACAAACGGTGACAAAATGGTGAGAAATGAGTGACAAACGGTGACAAAATGGTGAGAAATGAGTGACAAACGGTGACAAAATGGTGAGAAATGAGTGACAAACGGTGACAAAATGGTGAGAAATGAGTGACAAACGGTGACAAAATGGTGAGAAATGAGTGACAAACGGTGACAAAATGGTGAGAAATGAGTGACAAACGGTGACAAAATGGTGAGAAATGAGTGACAAACGGTGACAAAATGGTGAGAAATGAGTGACAAACGGTGACAAAATGGTGAGAAATGAGTGACAAACGGTGACAAAATGGTGAGAAATGAGTGACAAACGGTGACAAAATGGTGAGAAATGAGTGACAAACGGTGACAAAATGGTGAGAAATGAGTGACAAACGGTGACAAAATGGTGAGAAATGAGTGACAAACGGTGACAAAATGGTGAGAAATGAGTGACAAACGGTGACAAAATGGTGAGAAATGAGTGACAAACGGTGACAAAATGGTGAGAAATGAGTGACAAACGGTGACAAAATGGTGAGAAATGAGTGACAAACGGTGACAAAATGGTGAGAAATGAGTGACAAACGGTGACAAAATGGTGAGAAATGAGTGACAAACGGTGACAAAATGGTGAGAAATGAGTGACAAACGGTGACAAAATGGTGAGAAATGAGTGACAAACGGTGACAAAATGGTGAGAAATGAGTGACAAACGGTGACAAAATGGTGAGAAATGAGTGACAAACGGTGACAAAATGGTGAGAAATGAGTGACAAACGGTGACAAAATGGTGAGAAATGAGTGACAAACGGTGACAAAATGGTGAGAAATGAGTGACAAACGGTGACAAAATGGTGAGAAATGAGTGACAAACGGTGACAAAATGGTGAGAAATGAGTGACAAACGGTGACAAAATGGTGAGAAATGAGTGACAAACGGTGACAAAATGGTGAGAAATGAGTGACAAACGGTGACAAAATGGTGAGAAATGAGTGACAAACGGTGACAAAATGGTGAGAAATGAGTGACAAACGGTGACAAAATGGTGAGAAATGAGTGACAAACGGTGACAAAATGGTGAGAAATGAGTGACAAACGGTGACAAAATGGTGAGAAATGAGTGACAAACGGTGACAAAATGGTGAGAAATGAGTGACAAACGGTGACAAAATGGTGAGAAATGAGTGACAAACGGTGACAAAATGGTGAGAAATGAGTGACAAACGGTGACAAAATGGTGAGAAATGAGTGACAAACGGTGACAAAATGGTGAGAAATGAGTGACAAACGGTGACAAAATGGTGAGAAATGAGTGACAAACGGTGACAAAATGGTGAGAAATGAGTGACAAACGGTGACAAAATGGTGAGAAATGAGTGACAAACGGTGACAAAATGGTGAGAAATGAGTGACAAACGGTGACAAAATGGTGAGAAATGAGTGACAAACGGTGACAAAATGGTGAGAAATGAGTGACAAACGGTGACAAAATGGTGAGAAATGAGTGACAAACGGTGACAAAATGGTGAGAAATGAGTGACAAACGGTGACAAAATGGTGAGAAATGAGTGACAAACGGTGACAAAATGGTGAGAAATGAGTGACAAACGGTGACAAAATGGTGAGAAATGAGTGACAAACGGTGACAAAATGGTGAGAAATGAGTGACAAACGGTGACAAAATGGTGAGAAATGAGTGACAAACGGTGACAAAATGGTGAGAAATGAGTGACAAACGGTGACAAAATGGTGAGAAATGAGTGACAAACGGTGACAAAATGGTGAGAAATGAGTGACAAACGGTGACAAAATGGTGAGAAATGAGTGACAAACGGTGACAAAATGGTGAGAAATGAGTGACAAACGGTGACAAAATGGTGAGAAATGAGTGACAAACGGTGACAAAATGGTGAGAAATGAGTGACAAACGGTGACAAAATGGTGAGAAATGAGTGACAAACGGTGACAAAATGGTGAGAAATGAGTGACAAACGGTGACAAAATGGTGAGAAATGAGTGACAAACGGTGACAAAATGGTGAGAAATGAGTGACAAACGGTGACAAAATGGTGAGAAATGAGTGACAAACGGTGACAAAATGGTGAGAAATGAGTGACAAACGGTGACAAAATGGTGAGAAATGAGTGACAAACGGTGACAAAATGGTGAGAAATGAGTGACAAACGGTGACAAAATGGTGAGAAATGAGTGACAAACGGTGACAAAATGGTGAGAAATGAGTGACAAACGGTGACAAAATGGTGAGAAATGAGTGACAAACGGTGACAAAATGGTGAGAAATGAGTGACAAACGGTGACAAAATGGTGAGAAATGAGTGACAAACGGTGACAAAATGGTGAGAAATGAGTGACAAACGGTGACAAAATGGTGAGAAATGAGTGACAAACGGTGACAAAATGGTGAGAAATGAGTGACAAACGGTGACAAAATGGTGAGAAATGAGTGACAAACGGTGACAAAATGGTGAGAAATGAGTGACAAACGGTGACAAAATGGTGAGAAATGAGTGACAAACGGTGACAAAATGGTGAGAAATGAGTGACAAACGGTGACAAAATGGTGAGAAATGAGTGACAAACGGTGACAAAATGGTGAGAAATGAGTGACAAACGGTGACAAAATGGTGAGAAATGAGTGACAAACGGTGACAAAATGGTGAGAAATGAGTGACAAACGGTGACAAAATGGTGAGAAATGAGTGACAAACGGTGACAAAATGGTGAGAAATGAGTGACAAACGGTGACAAAATGGTGAGAAATGAGTGACAAACGGTGACAAAATGGTGAGAAATGAGTGACAAACGGTGACAAAATGGTGAGAAATGAGTGACAAACGGTGACAAAATGGTGAGAAATGAGTGACAAACGGTGACAAAATGGTGAGAAATGAGTGACAAACGGTGACAAAATGGTGAGAAATGAGTGACAAACGGTGACAAAATGGTGAGAAATGAGTGACAAACGGTGACAAAATGGTGAGAAATGAGTGACAAACGGTGACAAAATGGTGAGAAATGAGTGACAAACGGTGACAAAATGGTGAGAAATGAGTGACAAACGGTGACAAAATGGTGAGAAATGAGTGACAAACGGTGACAAAATGGTGAGAAATGAGTGACAAACGGTGACAAAATGGTGAGAAATGAGTGACAAACGGTGACAAAATGGTGAGAAATGAGTGACAAACGGTGACAAAATGGTGAGAAATGAGTGACAAACGGTGACAAAATGGTGAGAAATGAGTGACAAACGGTGACAAAATGGTGAGAAATGAGTGACAAACGGTGACAAAATGGTGAGAAATGAGTGACAAACGGTGACAAAATGGTGAGAAATGAGTGACAAACGGTGACAAAATGGTGAGAAATGAGTGACAAACGGTGACAAAATGGTGAGAAATGAGTGACAAACGGTGACAAAATGGTGAGAAATGAGTGACAAACGGTGACAAAATGGTGAGAAATGAGTGACAAACGGTGACAAAATGGTGAGAAATGAGTGACAAACGGTGACAAAATGGTGAGAAATGAGTGACAAACGGTGACAAAATGGTGAGAAATGAGTGACAAACGGTGACAAAATGGTGAGAAATGAGTGACAAACGGTGACAAAATGGTGAGAAATGAGTGACAAACGGTGACAAAATGGTGAGAAATGAGTGACAAACGGTGACAAAATGGTGAGAAATGAGTGACAAACGGTGACAAAATGGTGAGAAATGAGTGACAAACGGTGACAAAATGGTGAGAAATGAGTGACAAACGGTGACAAAATGGTGAGAAATGAGTGACAAACGGTGACAAAACAGTGACAAATAGTGACAAAACGGTGACAAACGGTGACAATCACAGCGGAACGGGTTTCCACGCAGGTCCCTGTGGCAGTGACACCGGGGGGGGACAAAACGGTGACAAACGGTGAGAAAACGGTGATAAACAGTGAGAAATGGTGACAAATCAACAAAAAGCGGTGACAAAATGGCACCACAACAGCAAAAAAATGGCACCAAACAGTGACAAACGGTCACAACCAGTGACAAATGGTGACAAAATGGTGACAAACAGTGAGAAATGGTGACAAATCAACAAAAAGCGGTGACAAAATGGCACCAAAACAGCAAAAAAATGGCACCAAACAGTGACAAACGGTGACAAACAGTGACAAATGGTGACAATCGCAGCGGAACGGGTTCCCACACAGGTCCCTGCGGCGGTGACACCAGGGGGGTGACAAACAGTGAGAAATGGTGACAAATCAGCAAAAAATGGCACCAAATGGTGACAAACAGTGACAAACGGTGACAAACGGTGAGAAACGGTGAGAAACGGTGATAAACAGTGAGAAACGGTGACAAAACAGTGAGAAATGGTGACAAATCAGCAAAAAATGGCACCAAATGGCACCAAACGGTGACAAACGGTGACAAACAGTGAGAAAACAGTGACAAATGGTGACAAAACAACAAAAAGTGGCACCAAACGGCACCAAAATGGTGACAAACGGTGACAAACAGTGACAATCGCAGCGGAACGGGTTCCCACGGGGATCCCTGCGGCGGTGACACCGGGGGGGTGACAAAACGGTGACAAAATGGTGAGAAATGGTGAAAAACTGACAAAACGGTGACAAACAGTGACAAACGGTGACAAACGGTGACAAAACAGTGACAAATGGTGACAAAACGGTGACAAACGGTGACAATCGCAGCGGAACGGGTTCCTGCACAGGTCCCTGTGTCACCCGAACTGGCACAGTGTCACCAGGAGGTGGCAAATGGTGATAAAAGGTGACAAAATGATGACAAAATGGCACCAAATCAGCAAGAAATGGCACCAAACGGTGACAAACGGTGACAAAACAGGGACAAAACGGTGACAAACGGTGACAAACGGTGACAAAATGGTGACAAAACGGTGACAAACGGTGACAAAACGGTGAGAAATGGTGACAAAATGGTGACAAAACGGTGACAAAACGGTGACAAAACAGGGACAAAATGGTGACAGTGACAAAGGCCCCTCAAGTGGCACCAAAGTGACACCGAAGGGACACTAAAGTGTCCCCAAACCCCCCCAAATGTCCCCAAATGTCCCCAAAGTGTCCCCAAAAGTCCCCAAAGCCCCCCAAATGTCCCCAACCCCCCCCAAATGTCCCCGGTGTCACCCACAGCTGCGTCAGTGTCCCCAAATCCTGGAAGAGTCCCCGGGGCAGCGACTCCAGGCGGTTGTTGGCCAAACTCCTGTGGGGACATTTTGGGGACATTTGGGGACATTTAGGGGACATTTGGGGACATTTAGGGGACATTTGGGGACATTTGGGGCCATTTGGGGACATTTGGGGTCATTTGGGGACATTTGGGGACATTTGGGGACATTTGGGGTCATTTGGGGACATTTGGGGACATTTGGGGACATGTAGGGGACATTTGGGGTCATTTGAGGACATTTTGGGGACATTTGGGGACATTTGGGGCCATTTGGGGCCATTTGGGGACATTTGGGGCCATTTGGGGTCATTTGAGGACATTTGGGGACATTTTGGGGACATTTGGGGTCATTTGGGGACATTTTGGGGACATTTTGGGGACATTGGGGGTCATTTGGGGACATTTGGGGACATTTTGGGGACATTTGGGGACATCTGGGGTCATTTTGGGGCCATTTGGGGCCACTTTGGGGACATTTGGGGACATTTGGGGTCATTTGAGGACATTTGAGGACATTTGGGGCCATTTGGGGACACTTTGGGGACATTTGGGGTCACTCACAGGAAGAGGAGCCCCCGGAGCCCCCTCAGGGCCGTGGGCGCGATGGCCCCGAGCTCGGTGTCCTCAATGAACCTGGGACACCAGTACGGACCAGTTTAAACCAGTACGGACCAGTTTAAACCAGTACGGACCAGTTTAAACCAGTATGGACCAGTTCAAACCAGTATGGACCAGTTTAAACCAGTACGGACCAGTTTAAACCAGTACGGACCAGTTCAAACCAGTACAGACCAGTTAGAACCAGTTTGGACCAGTTCACACCAGTTTAAACCAGTTCAGACCAGTTCCCTCCATTTTCCCCATTTCCCCCCAGTTCCCTCCCAGTCCCTCCCAGTTCATCCCAGTTCCCTCCCAGTTCCTCCCAGTTCCCTCCCAGTTCATCCCAGTCCATCCCAGTCCCTCCCAGTCCCTCCCAGTTCCCTCCCAGTTCCCTCCCAGTCCATCCCAGTTCCCTCCTAGTTCATCCCAGTCCATCCCAGTTCCCTCCCAGTTCCCTCCCAGTCCATCCCAGTCCATCCCAGTATCCCCAGTTGCTCTCACAGATACTCCAGTGCCCCCAGGCCAGCGAAGGCCCCGTCCCCGATGGTCCCCAAACGCCCCGAGGTCACCAACCTGGGCAGAGGGGACAGAGGGGACAGAGGGGACATTTGGGGACATTTGGGGTCATTTGGGGACATTTGGGGCCATTTTGGGGCCATTTGGGGCCATTTGGGGTCATTTGGGGTCATTTGGGGTCATTTTGGGG